TACCTGAGCTGTAACCTGAGCCAGGAACGGGGGTGGGGAGAATTAACACCTTCTGCCCGGGAGACTGAACAAAGGAGAGGAGCAGCGGGAGGAGTTTGGGAGTTTAGTTTTTTGGTTGGGGCTGGGTGGTGCAACGCAGGGAACCCCAAGCTGGGGTCTAAGCTCCCTGAACCTCCCAGAGGGACCTAATTGAGGGGGTCTGGTCGTACCTACACGCTCTGCTTGAGACTGTGTTCCTGTCCTTAAATAAACCTTCTGCTTTACTGGCTGGTTGAGAGTCGCAGTGAATCTCGGGAAGAGGGGTGCAGGGCCCTAACTCCCCCACAATCCGCAACAGCTGGACAGTGCAAGATGCACATTTCTGGGGGAAGTCTGGGACCAGAGAATTTTCTAGGGTTCTCCTGTGGTGTAATGTAATTCATGAGTCGTTGACTAGCAGCACTCAATACTATGTAGCTGGGAGCGAGTTACAAGCTGGAGACTGTTTGTTAACTGCCCAGGAATGGCTGTTCTCACAGTAAAGCAGTGTAAAAGGCACCCCAGCTTGGGGAACTGAGGGGACACAGCTGTTCAACAGTCCAGACTGTACTGTCATTAATGTCACAGACACTCAATTTCAAAGAGTCTCATAAAACACAGAGAAAGTAAATCCACGTCCCAGAAATCGAAGTCTCCAGAGAGAGGTCAAGTCTCCCAGGCACTGCTTCTTGCGGATAGAGAAGTCCAGAGACAACAAGAGAGTCCTGGGGAAGCTGAGAACAGTAAGCATGGGCTGGTGGGGTTCAGTGGAGAAAGGGAACAGGAAGGGCAGGGATATCACTTAATGCAGAATCTCAGCAGTGCTGGATGTCAGGATAGCACATACTGCAGCCCATTGGAAAACATAATCCCAACTATACATATAAAATGATGGGGTTTAAATTAGGTGTTTCCACTCAAGAGAGAGATCTTGGAGTCATTGTGGATGGTTCTCTGAAAAAATCCACTCAATGTGCAGCGGCAGTCAAAAAGCGAACAGAATGTTGAGAATCATTAAGAAAGGAATAGATAATAAGACAGAAGATATCATATTGCCTCTGTATAAATCCACGGTATGCCCATATCTCAAATACTGCGTGCAGATGTGGTTGCCCCATCTCAAAAAAGATATATTGGACTTGCAAAAGGTTCAGGAAAGGGCAAAAAAAGTGATTAGGGGTATGGAACAGTTTCTGTATGAGGAGAGATAAAAAAGACTGGGACTTTTCAGCTTGGAAAAGAGATGAAGGGGGGATATGAGAGAGTTCTATAAAATCTGGTGTGGAGAAAGTAAATAAGGAAGTGTTATTTACTACTTCTTATAAGAAAAGTGTGATTAATGTGCATAAGCCTTGTCAAGTAGTGTCAGGCTAAGCGCCATTAGGCCTCAACCTTCCGGAAGTTGTAAGAAGTGAGTACAGTTGAATCCTACAAGCATAAGCATAATCTAGCTAGGAAGCTTTATAGACTAAAAAGGAAACTTTGTAAAGATAGATGCAGACTTGTGGTTACTATGCTCTGCAACCAAATACCTCTTTAAGCTAACTCGAGGATTTTTGAGTCTAGCAAATTAGCTGCAATTAGCCGCATAGAGAAGAGATGAGTTGAGCACAGGTGCACAGTTCATAAGATCAAGACAACTGCAAATACCACACTGAAACATTTGGCCACCTTCATTGGTTGACCTGTTTTGAAACAAGGCCAGCAAATACCGTATAAATAAGGTGTAAAGATGCAATTGTGTGTGTGTGTGTTGACCTAAAAGAGATCACTCTTTGTCAGGCTCACATACACCCCTGAACCAAAGGGACTTGTGCTTCACCAAATATCTGTGCCTGGCCAGTGCAGGAAATGGTCGACTGAAGGTAATGTATCTTTGGAAGAACGCAGGGTAAGGTTTCAGAGTGAAGAGGTCTGGTTGTGCTCGAGCTAGTTAATCTTAAGTCTGTATTAATACTATAGTTTAATTATATTAGTAAATTGTTTAAGTTGTTTAAAAATAGTAGTAGTCAATAGTTAATCAATATATAATAACTGTATATGTTTTGTGCCTCGCTGGAAGCGGGTACAGCGCTGGTGAAGCTAGTAGTTTATAAACCATAATAGCTTTACAACTCGCTGTGCCTGTCTTCAGTATAAGTTACCATCAAGTTTATCATAAAGTCAATAAAAGTTTATAAGTTGTTATATAAGGTTATAGGTAGGTTAAGGTTAGTAAAATATAGTTAATCAATGTATTAGTATTGCATATGAATTTGTGTTGGTTGGGGATGGTTACAGTACACATGAAGTCACTAGGCACATTCTGTCTGTGTTTCCTTTGTAGTCATAAGTCATTAAAAACCTTACTTGAGGAATAATTAGTTGTTCAGTTTCTCTTTTGCAGACACTACTCAACCTCATTACATCTGTGTTGGGTGATGGGAAGTAGCGATCACCCAGAGCCCCACTAGGGCCCCGATGTGCGCCCCCTAGGGCCCTGATGTGTGCCTCCTCCTTCCATTAATCTCCACAACAAGGACTAGGAATCACCCAATGAAATTCATAGGCAGCAGCTTTAAAACAACAAAAGGAAGTAATTCTTCACAGAACACACAGTCA